CACTTTTCAAATAGAGCAGGTCTAGACCTTTTTAACATTTTTTTTTTTAAAGAGACCAAACAGTTACCATCCATGAGCAAGCGCTTGACCAGTTGGGGGGGGAGGAGGAGAGAGAGAGAGAGAGAGAGAGAGAGGAGAAGACAGAGATGAGACAGAGGAGGAGACAGGCAGATGTACAGCCAACAACAGTAGCCAACAACTACATTAATAGTAATGATCGATCATGAATGACAATCATGAAAAACATTGAAAAAAAGAGATGACAGAGCAAACGATGCGGGAACAGCTAGCAGGACAACAGTATTTGTAGCAATAATAAATTACTTAATAATACTAATAATAATAACAAATAAATAACCAGTGATTTTTAGCAATGGCAGGTCTAGCAGGACCATGGCATGAGGTTCCACCAGGATCCATGAGAACCTGCGAGACGGAGAAGCACAAGAACTCCGGGAAGAAGTGCAGTTAGTAAACTGCATTAATGGGACATTTGAATGAGTGGCAGAAAGAGAGAGAGAGGAAGGGAAGAGGATGCTCAGTGCACCATGGGAAATCCCCGATAGTCTAAAGGGTAGTTATATTAAGATTATTATTTGCTTACAACCATATCTGCGCTAGTGTCTCCGCTTCATATACAGGCATTGGTTCATTCGCGCTCTCCGCTTCCAGTTGCTGCCTGTTTCATCGTCTTTTTCAATGATTGTCCATTCATAGGATCGACCTGTCTCAATAAAGCTTTATCAAATATGATGTAGTTTGGTTGAGGAAACCTGTCTGTTCAGTGTACACTCTGCTCTGTCATCTCTTCTCTAGATCTTCGTTCGCTCTGGTCTCTCGTGCTCTCTCTCTCGTACAAGTCATCGTCTTCTCTCCGATGACTCCCCCCCCGCAGGACTGGAGACAGAAGGGCTGTAGGCTTGCTATAGTCTGTAGTTACTGTTGGGTCTCTGTAAAATGTTAAAAGGTCTAGACCCTGCTCTATTTGAGAAAGAGTGTCCGCATGAGAGCCTCCTCCGAAAAACCATCGATCCTGGAGCTTGGTATGACACCAGGAGTTGGGCGCGTAGTTATCGAGATAACATTGAATCAAGATCTATGGCTCAAATTGACAAGATTGGAATTTTTCTAGACTATTTTTACAGGGGAGTATATACTCTTACTGAGTTGTACCTCGAACAATTTAGTTGTGGTAGTTTGCAGCTTCCATTTTCCTCTTCCGTATTTGAGAGGATACCCGACAGGTATAGTGTTTCACAGTTAGGAAAGGGCCTAGTCAAGTGAGAGACAGTTAGAATAAGCCAGATCTTCCGTCTCTGATCTGCCATGAGTGTACGAGCTGATTGGATGATCTCATGATGAAGGGCGACCTGACCATGATATCGATGCAACAATCCAATGGGTACAATAGGGCCTATTTGTCGCAGAGAGGCAGCCGGTTGTCTGTGAAGATTAGGTGCCAAGTAAAGAATTTTCGTCATTACTTCATCTCTGACATAATTTATGCTGCCACAAGGTAAGCCAACGTGCAGCTGTTAGGCAAATGCATCGCCAAGGGAATGTTGATGTTAAGCATTAATTGTCAAACTCTATACTCTATTTTTTTCTCACTATATTAGTTTTTGTATGTCTTGAAAGATAACTTCCCGTTGCTTTTGCTTGACCAGTCGTTTTTCTTTGCTTATACACTTAGTGTAGATATCTTATTATGCAATTGTTCATTATTCTGTAGACGTCCTGTATACTTTAGTCACTATTAATAAAACAAAGACCACATTATCGCTATATTGAGGTTACACCTTCAAGTCAAAAGTTTCCCTAGAAGTTCATAGGTATATTCCTAATCTGAGCAAATGTTGAATTGAAATTAGGTATGTTTCAGATTACTGACCAATTCTTGTGATGTGGTTTTTATTACGGATGTGGTTTTTTCTATCACACTTTTTGGTTCATTAGTCATTCATGTTTATGTATCCCCGCATTTGCATTATAAATAACCAAATAGGTTCAGCGTCCTAAGAGATTCCTGTTCCTTGATGTGGGAAGGTAGGGTTGCTAAATGAGGGACAAAATCCCTGAAGTGCACCAGGATCGATACTGTAAAGTTGAGGATTTCCTGCTACAGACAGTGACAGGTTGGTTAAGAAGGGCCAATTCAAGCCATGTTCTCCAGGAACTACCCTCGAACGACTACAAAACATGACCTTGGTTTCAATACGCAGATGTTCCTAGAACTTGGTAGTTCCATTCCAGGGACGCTATCGAGCACGTATTCTACATACTGTTGTGTTCACACGTCAACAAAGTAGAGAGAAAGTTCTCTGGAAGGTTTTTCTAGAAGACAGTCATGTTGACTACTGCTCAATATTACTTCTGTGAAAGGGAACAGCCTCTTATCTTCAGCACAGATGTGCTTTAACAAAATCCGTCAATAAAAACATTCTGTCAAAAATTCCGCACATCCAGGATTATTTATTTTCACATCGGTGCATCACTAACAAAGACCGACCCCCTCCTTCTTCACTCAGAACATACAAAAACATTCGCTCATGCGCAGTGGGAAAAGTAGCACATAACAAACTCCCCTTTTCTCTTTAAAGAAAAACTGTGCAAAGAAAATATTCCTTTTTCCTTTTTAAATGGCCTTAACATATAACCAGGTTTAAAGTTGCAACTTTAATAACTAGAGTAGAACAGTAGAGAAAAAATCTTTGTTGTTTAGTCCATTTAGCTTTTAAGCTACCATACACCTTCTCTGAGAGCCCTCAGCAAAACGAGTGCAGACGTCCCCTTCTTGGTCAAGCAGTCAGCGAGTTGCTCCTTAGTTGCTGACAACATGATCTGCTGAATAGTCTCAGAGCTGATGAGTTCCTTGATACTACAGATCTCGAGTCTGAGTCTTTTCACTGTGACTGATTTGGTGGATTTGATGGCATCAAAAAGAGAGTGGTTGTCTGTTACACACACAATAGGCAAATTGTTGCGTGTTCAGTCACCTGTGGTGAGCTCTGAATAGAGTATAGCTAAGAAGACTGCACTGTCGATGCCATTTCAAGTGCCAAAGTCTCTCCAGCTAAAGTGCTTCGAACAACTCTCCTGATCCTCTTTGATTGCTAGCATATAGGCGAGAATCTTCCAACCTCTCCCATAAGCATGATAAGATGCCCCCCTTGAGTGCCTCCATCTGAAAGATTTCCCATGGATGAATCACTGAACACCACCAGCTTTAGGGAGTTGTCGTTTCCCAAGTACTGAAATCTCAAAGTCACCTCCTCTGACTTCAGTTTTCTGATCAGTTTATTTGCACAATGCAGAGTCTGAACAGTGGCATACTTTGTACTGGATTATGTCGGGTCTGCTTTGCCTCGCCACCCACAATGTCTGGCCAATCTTTGACTTAAGCATATCATATTCAGTGTCTGTTAAGGGGGCCTCTCGCTGTGTGGCTCTGGTGGGGTCCACAGGAATGGGCTGGAGATTTTTTTATGTACATCCATTGTTGTACCTGTATTTCATCCTCCACAGAGAGAACCTCCATTCCAATGTAGTTGAAGCTGTTGTGTTCTTCACGCCCAATTTGAAAAGCAGCTTTCAAGTGAGGGATGACTGTCATGGAGAACGTTTTTGAACCCCCCCAGATAAAGTCGTCCACATGACAAGCAAGGACTCCCATCACATTGCAAGAGTCATCCAACTAGTAGAACACTGCAGGGTCCCCTTTTGACACAGTACCTCCTGACTGCTGCATAATGTCCTTCACCCTATTGTACCAGTACAGAGAAGCATCTGCCAGGCCATAAACACACTTCTTCAACTTCCACACAGTTCCTTTGCTCTGAGCTTCTTGGGGAGGCCGAATGTAGACATTTCGGGTTAACTCTTTACCTTGCAAAAAGGCTGCTTTAATATCCATGGAGTTCAGCTGCCATTTCCTTTGACATATAACAGCCATGATCATTTTTAGAGACTCTGAGGCACACGTAGGTGAGTCTTTTGGGAGCTCCTCAGTGTTCATTTCCTCAAAGCCTCTTGCAACTAATCTGGCTTTAGGTACAACCCCCTGTGGTGTTTCCTTGAGTGTGCACACCCACCTTGTAGAGATGCATTTCTGACCTTCATCTTTCACCTCTTCAAACACATTGTTCTGTTTCCAGTTGCTGAGTTCAGCGTGTTTGGCAGACATGAAGGCATCATCATTCACAATCAGTACGTCCTCCTTATGGCAGACTGCACATAACTCGATATGCTCAGTTGGACCCAGCTGAAGATTGTCCACTTGTCCTAAATCCACTGATCCAGTTGTGCCAGCAATTTCCTCAGGCTCTGTGTACTGTAAATTGTACCAGTTTTTGTATGTTCCAGTGGACTTTCCTGCCCGGCTGAGGATTTTTCCAGTGTGTGCTTGGCCACTTCCACTGTCTGTGTATGTAACTACTTGTCCAGTTATCAGCTTAAGTCCTTCACAAGTAGTATTTGAGTGTGCTGATGTGTGAGGGGGCTCATTGATATCCTCAGCATCTTCATCATTTGAGGGTGCCTCTTCCTCACTTTCATTTACAGTGTCATTTTCATAGAGTCCTGTTTCTGGCATTCTGACAAAGGTTGACATTTTCAGTTCTCATCAACTGATCACCTCTTTCTCCCAACACAGAGCCGTCAACCTTTCGAAGTCTGGATTGATGTACAAGAACATAAGTGCCCCCGTGGAGAACAAATATCACCACACCATCTTGGCCGATGACCACACCTGGACCTTTCCACTCTGTAGAATCCACCCGTTTGTAGTAAACCTTATCCCCCGTTTCATATGGGTCATCAGTGGGTCGCAGTTGTTTACGAAGGGCTCTTAGGATCCGCTCAGAGCATTCTGCTTCTGTGAATGCTCTCCTTGTGGCATGTAATGCTGAGATGTGCTGGGCTATCCAAGTAGACACACTAGTCCCTTCTAGAGCTGGCGGCTTATCAGTGAGAACTGATGGCAGATTTGGGTTCTGCCCGAACACTAGCTGGTAGGGACTGTAGCCATGCACGTTGTGCATAGAGTTTTTTGCCATCAGGGCCCAGTCTAGGGCTGTCTTCCAATCACATCCGTTGTCTCTCTTTACTTTCAACAGGATTTCAGTGAGGGTTTGATTATGCCTTTCTAAGAGACCATTACTCCATGGACTATAAGCTGCAGTCGTTTTCACTTCAATGTTAAAGTTTTCAGCCATGTCCCTCATTTCTTCGTTATTAAATTCACCCCTATTGTCAGTGAACAGTCTGCGTGGAGGACCATGAACACTTATCCAGCAGTGAATAAAGTGCTTCACTATTTCTTTGGGTTTCTTGGTGGTAATAATGCTCCCTGCACTGAATCTTGTGAAGTGGTCAATGGCATGCAGATACCACACCCCTGGCTCTAGCTCATGTAAGTCCATAGCTACAGTTTCATTGTAGGTTGAGGCCATGGGTAAACCTACTGCTGGCTTTTGCTTTGGTTTACTGTATCTGATGCATGTCTCACAGTTCTTTACAATATCCTTCAGGATTGTGATGCACTCCTCATCAGTATTACCTGAGCAGGTCAGTAGTTTTTGCAGTCTGTCAACTGAGGCATGTCCAAACTGCTTGTGCAGTTTCAATAGCACTTTTTGTTTTTCTTGTTTTGTCATGTTTTCTGTCACAATGAGGATCTCGTTTTCATTTTGGACGTCACTTCCATCTGGGGTATTGTTATCCCTCAAGTTCACACAATAATGTCCTGATGATGTCAGTTCAAGTTTCACAGGTTGCTTGAACATTATGGCTTTGTCATTCTCAATGTCCAAAACTGCACCTGCTCTTTTCAGTGAAGTTTTGCTTAAAAGCAAAGGGATATCGGCTGGGACAACTTCTGTCTCAATTTGACATTTAGTTTGTGCTATCACAGCTGGGATTTTCACTTTCTTTGTGGAGTGGACAATTCTGGACAAAACATAATGATCAAGCCATTTATCGCCACACACTGTTCTGGTGCAAGCTGTATCAATCACAGCAGATCCCAGAGACTCCACTATGAAAATCTCTGTGTCAGACAATGTGTCTTTAGACAATAAAGTAATGTTGCATTCTTCAACCTCTGTTTGTCTTTCATCTTCTGTTAGTTTAGCATGTTCATTTTTGTGGGGGCAGTCCTTCGCCCAGTGATATAAGCTTTGGCAGACTGCACATCTCGTTCTCCTACCATATCTGTCAAGTGGATTGGTACCTTGAACAGCTGCTTGATGTTGCAGATTTGACCTACTTTCTCTCCTGCCGGTAAACTTTGTGTAGTAGACAGCGTCAGTTGCATCTCCGCTCACCTACAGTGCACCAGCGCCGCCCTGTGGCGTAGTATCACCAAATATCCTCTTCAAGGCGGCCTTCTCAACTCCGTGTACGCCTCATATTGGTGGTCCTTTTCCTCTTTCAAAAACACTGAGTCCAGTTTTATCAAAAGTGTAGTCATTCCATCACCTTTGTTCAAATCCCCTGTGGCTATTTCCAGCGTGCTGTCCCTCGCTCTTCCTGTTAGCGACAAGGCAACCGCCAACGGATTGCTCTCTTTTTACCCAAGTGAGTAAACAAGTCTCCAGATTCTCGACTTCATTTTTCCCAAACCTTTCCCGTAAAGAATTTTTTTCTCAATCAACGCTGGCGGAACTTATAATAATTACCAGCGCCAATGCCCTCTGGCTACCCTCTGTTCTACCCCTCCCCAATAACCTCCGAAACCGACCAAACTGACGTTTGCCATGAAACTTTACTTCAAACTCCTTGCATGACAACTAACAAAGACCGCCCCATCTTTCCCTCACCCTCCAGAACATACAAAAAACACATTCGGCTTCTCATGCGCCAGTGGGAAACAGCTAAGCCGCATAAACCATGTTGACCCAGTCCTGTTCGCCTGCGAAAAAGCCCTTGACGACGCAGCCTGCTCCTTACCACACCACCAAAAACACTTCACCTCCACCATGTTCGCATCCTTGAGCCATTCTTCAGCTTGTGTTTTATCCAGTCCTACCAGAGACGTAAGGTAAGAACTTGTATGTTATGTATCTTTAAAGGATCTGCATCAGCATTTTTCATTGTTATATGTTTATGTTGTAAAAGAATAACAGCTGAGTATTATTGTAATGGATTCTCATCTAGTATTGATCAGGCTGTTGATTAGAAATTATCAGGCACTTCACATCGTTTATATCTCAATCACTTGTACTAAACCTTTTGATTAAGGCAGATGGGAACGTGTTTGGATGGAGAAGCAGTTGAGATAGATATGACCAGTAGATAAAAACAGAAAACCCTGCAGATTTCCTAGAGGTGGAAATTCCAGTAATTAAAGGCACATTTGAAGATACTTTTGATTTTAGACTTTCCCAGTGTGGTTTAAAACGTTATATAAAAAAAACGCTTGTTGATTATTTATTGTGGACTTCTGCTTTGCAGACCTCAGATTCAAGAAGAAAATGTCTGTGGTACAGTTCAACCTTTGGTGAAACTTTTAACATGTGAATTCACGGTTCGACTGACAGCAAACAGCAAGTAACCATCTTGACAGTGTTGACCTTTGATTGGGACGGAGGAGCTAGAGAGTCCAAAATGGCTTGCTTTTTTTTGTTGAACCTCCTCATGTCGCAGTCAAAACTGTATCCTACAATTGAGCAGTGGATGCAGTCGCATTTATGAGACAGGGAGTCAAGATGGCACTCAATACATCTTTTGAGTAATACTGAGAACTTGTTGTCCCATTTAGGGACTGAAGCTAAGCTAAGCTTGATATTGGACTGTTAGCAAAGCATGTTAGTTCGGAGAGCTTTATTCTCTTGTTATTTTCCATCTGTTGATTTTGCAACATTAGCTACAGTTTAGTACTGTTGAGATAGATGACCACATTATGTTTTTGGTACTAGTCTCTTCTGGACCCTATCGGCCCTTTAGACCACATTTGGAGGTTTCAGCTTCCTTCACATCCGTCCCTTACGTTAGTGTGCAGGCTGTGATATACTTGTTCTTTTAGCCTGGTGTACATAACTATCAAGGGAGTTAATCCCATTCTTTTGCCCAGGTGGTGTGCTTGACAGGCTCCAGTCACTCCGACACCCATTAATAACGGTGTGAACATAGAGAGAAGATTCAAAGAATCAGTGAGTTGTTGGAATCTGGATACTTAGATGTTGTTTGCCTGGTCTTTTAATCGCAGGTACATAAAAATATGTTATAGTCAATGTATGTATGATGTTTTACGGGCGTA